GCTTCCCTACAGCATCACTGAAACATTAACAGGGTTACTATTAAAGTGAGAACTACAAAGTGAACGTCACATAAAAGGCCAGAGTAAACAAAGCATAGCTAATTTAGAGAATTTTTCCAGTTTGGCTATTTTTACTTTAAATTAAATATTCATTTTAAATGTAATATTGTGAATTCAGGACTTTGTGAAATCAAAAGCTATGGCCGCTGTCTAGAATGAGTGTCACTAATATAAATAATAGTGAAAATACATGACGAACAAATAATGCTCCTCGAATTTAGCAGAATTGAAAAATTAAAAATCAGCTATTTCAACTCTCACCATATTATTGTCATATGTGCTAATGAATACAGGTTGTTTTGGTTTATAACAGAGATAGATTCATTCGCCACTTTTGCAGCCAAAAGCACAATTAACTGGGGTTTTGTATTTAATACATTCTAGATTTATTTTCCAGATCTTTAGGGGTATTTAATATAATCCGGAAAGGTTGCTTACAGCCTCTTCTTCATCATCTATTGATTCATCTCTAAATGTTTTATGAAAAAATGTTTTGTCTTCAAGACCAGCATTACAACAACAAAACCTTGCAATTTATACCGACAATGGTGAATTGACCAGGATTTATATCCTTTTATTTCAACTAAAACATCACTATTTAATGAAGATACTATTTCAACAAAAAGCCCTATTATACTTACTGTGCCTAGTGAAGGTGTAACAGAGACACCTACTGGTGAGCACAGGAATTACTTCCACCATACACACAATGCAACCATTGCTTTTATCCTATTTATTTTTAAGTCCTACATTTATAAACAATGAAATGCCATCTATGAAAATAATTATTAGTCTTTTTGTTTTGTTTTTTAATTACTATATATAGGATGATGTAGAGGCAAAAAATGCCTACAAAATTCAAAATATAAAAAAAGAACAAGTTAGACCTGTGCTGCAGATACTCCACACTGAAGTCCCAACAGTGTATATACAACCAAAAAACAAACAAGAGTCCTGCGCATCCAGTATATGTGTGCACAACCAGGTGCTACCACAATTTATTTGAGGACAAAGTTAAAACAGCAAATGTTTCAAGCAGCATCCCTTTCTCAATGCTGGACATTAAGATTGAGAAAGGGCTGCTGCTTGAAACGTTTGCTGCTTTAACTTTGTCCTCAAATAAATTGTGGTAGCACCTGGGTGTGCACACCTATACTGGATGCGCAGGACTCTTGTTTGTTTTTTGGGTGTTTTTTAAATTACCAAGCAAATTTGCATCCAGCAACTCAACATGAGCAGTACAATTTATTATCCAATATATATTATGTAATATGCCCACGGAAAATAGTATGTTAATAATCCTGAATAAGGGAATACAAAAAGAAAAAAAATAATCTTTGACATCAGTGAAGCAAATCAAGTTGGCTGCACTGTCCAATTTAACATCTATGTGTAGTGTTTCTGATATACAAATCGCCAAGCATCTTCCAGACTTCATGGGTTCACTGACTTAACCGACTCTTACTGGTATGCCGTCAATGCTTGCACGCGCAAGCAGTAGATCTGTATGCACATAACATACACCTACTGCATTCTCTGCTGAATGCGTTCAGCCATGAACCCAAGCTGTACTGTGCCACTCCGGTTGTCATCGTTTGACTCTCAGTGTGCAAGAGACTGCAATAATGCAATGTATATAATATCATTTGGGTAAAAATGGTCATAGTTCGGGTAAAAATTGGATACAAAAAGGTCATAGCCGATATAATTTGGGTAAAAATTGTCAGATATCACTTGGTTAAAGAGTGGGGCTGTTTTTGAAAGAAAAAGTTTACTTATTCCAAAAGAAAAATAATGATAATGAGTAATGTGTTTAAAAACTCGACATAACTAGTAGAGTTTAAAATTTCAAGTTCTAAGATACTAGCCAGGCCTTAAATGTTACTTGCCACTGTGAACACATTCTATGTACTAAGACTATATTTTCACTCACCGACTGGTAGCGGGTGTAAATTGTGAGCCCTGTAACTAATGTAAAAAACTAACAATAAAACGATTATTATAAGTTTCGCTGCTGTTCTGGAATACCTGAAAAATAATTAATTGACACCTACCCATATTTGCAATAGAGCATTTAATTGCAAAAACAAATCTTCAAATGACAAAACATAATTTTACCAATGCATGTACATTGAAATGGTTCTTAATGGGTTAAAATATAATTGTTGCCATTTTCTGCCTATTGAACATACTGTCAGGATTACAATTGATCCAACACGCAGTATTAGTATCACTCTTAGGAATAATGATAACATCTAACTGGACCTTAGAATGGTCGGACTTAACGTATAAGAGAATAGTCAAAATACTAGCCGGGGTCAGGAACACAGAATGAAACACAGTTGCAAGGAATAGCCAATAGTCAGGGAGACCAGAAATCAGGGAAGTCAGAACGAAGCCAAAGTATAATACCAAAGAAACACGATCAGGAACACCCTCTCTAAATAACCAGCTAAGGGAAACCACAACAGGGCAATGAGTAGAAGAAATTAGTGAGTTTAAGTATCCCTCATGTGAATCTGATTGGCCGTTTCCGGCCCATAACCCCAAAACATGCGCGCTCATCCTCTACATGACGTCACCCGCACGTCGACGTCACCACCATCGTGAACAGATGTGGGGCTACATAACAGTGTGGATCTGCAGCGGCCGGCGTCCACTCCTCTTATGGCATGGGACAGCCGTGCAGCACTTCTCCTATTCCTGGAAAGTTGATTATTGTTGTGCATAGCATATGGAGAGGATGAAAATGTGACACATACTTAGAAGAAGAAGAAAAATCTTAATTTGCCTTCTGTGCCATGGCTGTGCCTGGACTGAATTGGATGTGTCATATGATAAATGTTACCTATGCATTTCGAAGTAAACAGAACATCACATAAAAATTTTTAAAAGGGTTACTCCAATCATCATTACCATGAAAGCCCGCTGGTGGTTATGATGTCCTGGGTACCCTACACTGGTTCCATGTTAATGGGAGAAATTGTTTGCCCTCTTACCTGGCAGGCTACAAGTTTCCATGCCGCTGTGGCAACGCGTTTCCAGCTTCTGCGGCGCTGCAGAAGCTGGAAGCGTGACCACAAAACAACTTCATTGAGGTTAGTTCCTATACATTAAAACGTATGAGACTTCTCATCCTGGTGGCCTTATATATAAACAGTATGTTTTTGTAACAATATTCTATTACAATTAATATATTTGTAAGTATGCTATATTAGGCAATTCTTCCACTTCAGGTTCATTTTGAGAGTCACAGCTGCATAGTTTTGTTTTATTTCATAATACAACCTGACTCTTTGAAAAATACTCATGTATTTATAATATTTCTTAGCCTAATCATGTTTGCAGCTATTGTTCCACGTTACGTATCCTGCTAGCTTTATTGATCTAGCATTTATATATTAGTTTATTACCACTGATTTACTAATCTTCTCAGCAGGCAGGAGACTGCAATAATGCAAGGTATATAATATAATTAGCCGTACAACTAACACATGCTTGGAATATAAGGCTTGTTTGGCAAATGTTTAGCAAAAGAACATAAGTTAATTCCCTTTTGGGGTTGCCCATGGTGAATGTCATAATAACCAATGTGAAGGGAAAGCATTCATTACTTTGACATTAGTATTTGATATAGACAAGCAGAGACAAACATACACGCACACAAATAGTTGTGTAACACAAGATCCTAGATTAGTGTACTTTTCTCTGGACACTGATATCAATCAATTCATTGGAAGGAATATTATGCAATAGTTGCTGATGTAATGATTGTGAGTGAAACAGAGTTATAGATTAAGAAGATTTGAAGACATAGAGTAATAGTAGTAGTATCTAAACCCGCCTTCTAAAGAGATACTAGTTAAAATGTGTTATAGACACTCTAGCTGGATTAAACACCCTGCTTTATTGCATTAAATAGACAAGTAAACAACAAAATCTATATTTCAATTTAAAATAATAAAAAATATTTACAGTAAGGTGTGATTGTCCACTCTTTAGGGTTTACCCTGAGGTGTAGTTATAATGAATTAGGATTGCTGATTTTATTGTCCGTGCTTTGTGTTTTATTCCAGGCATCTGATGTAGCTCCTGTGTTCACTGTCATTAAGTTGTATAGGTTCTCCCAGCTAATTGACTTTAAATTGTGTGTTGTGTGTTTTATTTTTACTATATGTCCATAGATTTCTCCTCAACTCGTTTTTTTACTGTTACTGAATACTGCGAGATCTTCATACTACTAATTACTGTTGTTTCATTTTAGTACAAACAATCCCATTTTCATACTCAATTAGTAAAAAAATTAAAAAATAAACTTTGACAGAGTATATGTCTAATATGCAGATTAATAGACTTTTTTAAATTTTGTTTTTCAGATTTTGGCGATTATATCGATCCTATTCATTGTCCTTTCGACGATTGCATTATCCCTTAACACACTGCCGGATTTGCAAGAAACCGATGAGTTTGGACAGCCCAATGACAACCCACAACTGGCACATGTTGAAGCTGTATGCATTGCCTGGTTTACAATGGAGTACCTTCTGCGTTTCCTTTCTTCACCGAACAAGTGGAAATTTTTCAAAGGGCCCTTGAACATAATTGATTTACTGGCCATTTTACCATATTATGTTACAATTTTCCTCACAGAATCAAATAAGAGTGTACTTCAATTCCAAAATGTCCGACGAGTGGTACAGATATTCCGGATTATGAGGATACTACGTATTCTGAAACTTGCCAGACATTCAACTGGGCTCCAGTCTTTAGGGTTTACCCTGAGGCGCAGTTATAATGAATTAGGATTGCTGATTTTATTTTTAGCAATGGGGATAATGATTTTCTCCAGTTTGGTATTTTTTGCTGAAAAGGATGAGGATGCCACAAAGTTTACTAGTATACCAGCATCATTTTGGTGGGCAACCATAACTATGACCACAGTTGGCTATGGGGACATTTATCCAAAGACGTTACTAGGTAAAATTGTAGGGGGTCTTTGTTGCATTGCTGGCGTGCTAGTAATAGCACTACCTATACCAATCATAGTAAATAATTTTTCTGAGTTTTACAAGGAACAGAAAAGACAAGAAAAAGCAATAAAACGGAGAGAGGCACTTGAACGAGCAAAAAGAAATGGAAGCATAGTGTCCATGAATCTAAAAGACGCATTTGCTCGTAGCATGGAGCTGATCGATATTGTTGTAGATAAGTCAGCAGACAATTCTAATAAACTAGAGAAAGCAAGTGATAATCATTTATCCCCAAACCGGTGGAAATGGAACAGGAGAACATTATCTGAAACAAGCTCAAACAAATCATTCGACAATAAATATCAGGAGGTTAGTCAAAATGACTCTCAAGAACAGTTGAACAATTCATCTTCTAGTCCACAACACCTGAGTGCACAAAAACTTGAAGCTCTATATAATGAAATAACAAAAGCTCAATCAAATCCCAACGTTAATTCTTCCTACAATGAACAGTCTATAGTCCCTCCAGCATATGAGGAGGAAATAGAGATGGAAGAGGTTTCTGCAAAAAGAAACCAGCTTTCAGTAACACAACGCGATGTTATAACAGACATGAGAAGTGTTTCCAGTATTGACAGCTTTGCAAGTTGTGCAACTGATTTCACGGAAACTGAGAGGTCTCCTCTCACCCCATTCCCTGGTAGTAACCTGGAAATTCGATTACCTTCATACATGGTGCCTCAGGAAGGAAATCATGAGGTCAAAGTCTCACACTTTCCGCAACGTTCCAAATACCCAGGTTTTGCTCCCAAAGATGTCACTTTTGAATATAAGCTATCTGACACATCTCTCAAAAATGACAATCCGAACCCTAAAATATTACTCCAAGATCAAATTGACAATGAGTCAGGAATCAACCAAAGTTCTCTAAAATTGAATAACCCCCTTAAAGCTCGATCGCTGAAAGGTAACTTCAGGGAATTAAAAGGTATTGGTCCACAAACCCCAGCAAATATTACAAGCTCATTGCCAGTAAATGCTGTTGAGCATCCGTTATATAGCCATCTTAAACTAAGCACAGTTTTTCTACAAGATTACCCTTCACAGGAACAGCCAGCAAAGCCACAAACTGAATCACTTAGTGGCTTAACAGGGTCCAACCAGGAGTCTCCTTCCCCTAATCCAAAACTTTATGCACTCACTTCAAAAAAGACAAGCAGTTTTACGGAAATAGACACCGAAGACGAAGATTTTATGCAGATTTGCAGTGCAAAAAACAGTACTCAGGAGGGCATCAAAGCAAACTGCATTGAAGAAAGAAACGAGGGAAGTCACGTAACAACAGGAAGAGATATGCCCTCTCCGCAAAAAAACAGTCAAAACTGTACTCAGGGCATTTACCTAACAGGAGAGGATATTAAGCAGGCCAACATTCAAGAAGAAAGCAAGGTGGAAAATCACCTATTTGTTCCAGAAATCCATTCAGATGCTGGTGAAACAGGTTATTGTCAAACACGTGAGACCAGCATGTGACTAACAGAAAAAGCAATAAAGACTTTTTTTCTTAAAAGCACTAAGGTTGGTAATGCCTGTGAACTAAAAAAAAGAAAAGCCTCAAAGACATCCATAAACTATTCATTTTGCATGGCATGAAGGATTGTTTAGTTTAAATAGTTCAGGAACTTACGTTTGTAACAATACATATAATGACTCAACAGCAGTGGTGTAATAAAGAACACTCAACTAAGAGCCAGTGTGCTGAGAAAGCTGACGTTTTTGATCCATTAATCTACATTTGCAAATATGTTGTAGAACGTTAAGCAATGTAGAGAATGCAGAAGAAAGGATACATATCAATGCATGCATTAACAAAGATGAGAATGAGATGCTTTGAACTCTAAGAAGGCCTGTATATGTACATATGTTAGAAGAAAGAATTTAGGTATAAAAAGTATATATAAATATATAAAGGAAGCAAGATAATCAGGGCCCAGGTACTTCCTTCGCAGTATACTGTTTGGAGGATCTGTACAGACTTATGTTGCAAAATTGCAACCTCGGTATGAGCCTATCCAATGGTGTAGAGGTCTATGTTCCGTTGCCCTGGTTTGCCAATGGACCAAAGGCCACGGCAGCACTGGAGAGGATATGCCACTTAAGTATCTTTTTTTTCTGTTTGTAAGTTTTTCTTATATTTAAAGAAAAGTCAGCAACCTGTGGCTCTCCTGCTGTTGTTGGAGACAGTTGAAAAGGATGACGGGATAACAACAATGTCCAGAGAGTCACATTATACCCACTCCTAATTTAAATGAAGAGATTATTTTTTATTTTTACTTTTTTTTTGTGCTAAAAAAAAAAAGAAGAACACTGCATATTTTGCTGTGCATAAAGATTGTTTTTGCATTTCTTATTTAAAAAATAAAAATAAAGTTAAAAAAAAAAATAGGCAAGATTTAACAACCAGAAATACAAGTGTGAAGACTGATGTTTCATGTGTAAAACTTGCCAAAATGTTATCAATAATAATGCTCCACTGTTAAATACAAAGTACAGTTATTGATCGCCACGTAAATAGTGCCAATTGCCATGAAATATCACACTTTGCTTAATACATGTTCAATGTCACAATTTGTATTATTTCCATATTGATTGTATGTTAATCTTCTAGGAAGTCACTGATTAAGGAATCCTAGTGACATCTAAGCACATCTGTCCACACAAATCACTGTTAGTTAATAATTGTCATCATTCGAACTTGGCACGTACAGCATCTTTACATTTAATTTTTTTGCATTTAGCTCTTGTTCAGTTGCCATCTGTTTAGTTTTGAGTAATGGTTTCTCTTCTACATGTTATCACTTTAGTTATATTGTTGAGATTCCATGTAACGTACGGGTATGCAAAATTGCTCATTTAGAGCAAGAACATGGAAATCTGTAGAACAGGTTGATTACAAATGGTATATTTGTGATTAAATATCCAAGAACAATATTTTTTTCTGCTTTCTGGTTTTACGTTACTAGATAGGATCTGTGTTTAATTGTTTCCATGCGTTTAATGCTAAAAGACATGCTTGGATTACCAAGGTCTAAACAAAATTTCAACTTGATGGGGGAAAAAAGTTATTAAATAGTCAATATCTAATGGTTTTCATCTGGGATAAAGAGATCAATACATCCATTATAACCAGGTGCTACTTGGGGGAAGATTGCATATTTTCCGAAATCTCTCATGTTTTTCCATGAAGGTTAGATTGTTCAGTAGTTGGAATACGAGTTAAAATGTCTTTCTTTACTCTTCTAATACTACCGTCCCTGACACCTCTCTCCAACTGGTTATGACACTGCTGCTGTATATGTATAATAATCTGACTACACAGTAGAAGAAAACCAAGCTCTGCACATTTCATGTAAGCTGATAAACGTTACCGGATTGATATGCATATATCAGAATTTCTGAATACGTTAATTTATGGCTCTATATGTGTGAAGAAAAAAAAAATTAATATACATAACGAGGAGGCAATAAAATAGCATAAGTGTCAAGAATAGCATTAAATATAATTTTAAAAAACAGGAAAATTCATTTTAAATTATAATTAGAATATCATTTTAACTAAGAAAAATATTATACAAATAAAGAAAATAACAGAAAAAAATACATAAAATTATTTTTTATTTTATTTCTCTCAAAAAAGTCTCAATACTATAATGTCCTTGAAGGGACATTTTAGTTGCCAACAAAATGTATGTGAATGTTTCATCATTATTCTATGCATGCTATGTTTTTTATCGCTTTTGAAAAAAATATTTGCAAAATTAACTTGTTCCTTTAAGTGGGTGTATTCTCTCTTATCCTAATCTACAGTGTTGAATAATACAGTTGCACATGTCATGAGAAAACTCAAAGCTTTCTGAGAATTCTGTAATTCAGCTTACAGGTATCATAAAAGAAAATTTGATAACGGTACTACATATCCCAGAACCCCTGCTCTGAGCAGAACGTACGCTGTGCTCAGAGAGCTTTGAAATCTGCTACTCAGTCCATTCACATTGTGAGCCTTTTAGTGCAGAGTTAATATTGTGTAAAAAAATAACTAGAGTTCTATATTCACAAATAAATTATCGGTCAACATCCCATGGAAAATTAATAAACTACTTTCCTTCAATTAAAATTCTGCATGTTCCAACATTATTGGTTGAGGCGCTAATGTGTTTCTTGTCTAAATTCAAGTCTCAATTTTACCTAAATTCAAGGTAGTGCAATTTTTTGGAGACATCATCCCTCATTCCATATAATATTGGCCATTGATTTGACTTATCTGGGTTAAATATGTCAAACAATTCAGACCAAAATGAAAGGATCTTCTGGTCGAGCTACTTCCTGGAGTGAGCAAAACTCAAGGCTGTTAATATAGTGTCCATGAGTTGGCACATAAGAACGACATTTAAAAGTAAGTATTCTTTTTATCTTTTATTATTTAGGCTTGGGTGTTTTTATATTTTACACATTAATACATTTGTATGCATTTTCTGTGTAATGCATTTCAAAATGGGTCAATTCGAGTCTTAAGAGGGCAATATATTCTTCCTACTTAGTAGACATGCAAGTTTACTTTGCATTTTTTTTCGTAGTGGTAACCTGTTTTAGATCTGTGGTCACTATAAAATCCTTTGGCATACGAAGATTTTTTATTTTTTTTACTTTCTGTTGTCTAGTAAAAAAATACTCTGAACTATAGAACTTTTAAAGGACCACTCTAGGCACCCAGACCACTTCAGCTTAATGAAGTGGTCTGGGTGCCAGGTCCTACTAGGGTTAACCCATTTTTTAATAAACATAGCAGTTTTAGAGAAACTGCTATGTTTATTAATGGGTTAAGCCTTCCCCCTAATCCTCTAGTGGCTGTCTCATTGACAGCCACTAGAGGCGCTTGCGTGATTCTCACTGTGATTTTCACAGTGAGAGCACGCCAGCGTCCATAGGAAAGCATTGTAAATGCTTTCCTATGCGACCGGCTGAATGCGCGCGCAGCTCTTGCCGCGCGTGTGCATTCAGCCGGCGGGGCGGAGAGGAGGGGGAGA